GCACAAACACACTTTTCAATGAAAACATTTCACATAACTAAGTTTATAGTTTCAATTATAAAACTAGGTGAAATAAACATCATTTTACCTAGTTTCTTTTTTATATATATATCATAAAACTAGTTAAATGATGTTTATTTCACCTATTTTTATAATTGAATCTATAAACTTCATTATGTGAAATGTTTTCATTGAAAAGTGTGTTTGTGCTTAATTTCTTTAAAAAAAAAAAGCCATTTGTTTTAATATATGTTCTTATATATTTATATATAATATATATAATATAATTTTTTAATATCACCTGTATATAATATATACATTTACTAAAAATAAATAAATAAAAATAGAAAAAATATATATATAATTAAAAAATATTTTAAAAACATTATTTATTTAATTTACGTTTGTGCATATATGTATGTATATGTAAAATATACAAAATGTTAATTAAAAATATATATTTATTAAATATAATTTTTTTTATTAAAACGACTGCAAATTTCGATCATAGATAGATGGATAGATTTTAATTTTTAATTTCCTATTTTAATAACGTGATAAACGACTCGACTGATAGACTTCAGTCCCATGGAAATAAAACAATCTATTGACTTCTGAAGACACTTGCCGTTAATTCTGTTGAACGCATTAATCCACTGATAGTCCGATAAATGCATTTTAAGAAGCTGCCGAATTAAATCGCTGTTCAGAGTGAGTTTTTCCTGAATCCACAATCAAATCAATTTGAAATCCAGCCAACAATCTCCACCTCTAACATACCAGTTCTTTATAAAATGCTCCACAGTGGTGTAAGTTAAGATGTCAGTTCAGATCATCTTCTTTTTCTTCTAGACTGGGTTCCTCTTGCTCCGGCTCTCTTCTCTAGATTCATTCCTCAGATCGATGCTCCTGCTCTTGAGTCCCAGCTCCCGTATTACGCGGCTCAAGATAAAACACTGCAGATGGAGCTTTCTGAGAACGGCTTCTCCAGGTACCGCTGTCTGCAAACCTCACCTGTATCTGTAAATAAAGCCAAATCACACGCCTGACCTCACCTGGCCTCGTTCCTTCCGCAGGGGCGATCAGTCGCGGAAGCGAGCGAGTGAAGAATCGTGACAGTCAAGTGGGTTTTCACACGACTTCAGTGAGAAGACACAAACACGTCTGAGATTTAGAAGCTTCCTGATACACTCGCCGACACGCTGCTGCAATTCAAGCCTTCGTAATTCAGTAAAAATCACTTCAGCACAGACTTTATCTGATACAGAGACGCTTCATGTCTTCATACAGTCCTTTGGGAGTTCTCACATAAAGCTTTATTAAACTACACAAACACATGAGCATCATCTCTAGGGCCTTCAGGTTGTGTGCAGAGACTCAGTGAGAATGCCTCTTTTCTCTCGTTCTGGATTTGCTTCACAGAATTGATCATGTGTGAGCCTGCAGCACAAAAGCAGTGTTAAGTCGCTGGGGGATATTTGTAGCAATAGCCAACAATACTTTGTGTGGCTCAAAATTATAGATTTCTCTTTTATGCCAAAAATCATTAGGATATTAAGTAAAGATCATGTTCCATGAAGATATTTAGTAAATGTCCTACAGTAAATATATCAAAACTTAATGTTTGATTAGTAATATGCATTGCTAAGAACTTCATTTGAACAACTTTAAAGATGATTTTCTCAATATTTAGATTTTTTTGCACCCTCAGATTCCAGATTTTCAAATAGTTGTATCTCGACCAAATATTGTCCTTTCCTAACAAACCATACATCAATGTAAAGCTCATTTATTCAGCTTTCAGATGAAGTACAACTGATGTTTTGTGCTCCAGGGTCACGTATTTCCAGATTGATTAATTCAGTCACGCAGGCTGGTTTCCATTTCTACTCATTTGTCCTGGGCTTGTCGTTCAGTGAAATCATCCGGTTTGCTGTGATCTCAGAAAGGATGGTTCGAGACTGTGCATCCAGAATTTTAGGATCACTACTGTAGTTTTAAACACTTTTAGCTGATTTATCTAATAATAACGTGCCTTTGGCTATTCGCCTTTCTTCCTTTCAGACTTTTTAAGTGAAATGTAAATCAATCATTTATTATGACAACCACTGTTGATTTTATTTTTTTTGGTGCGTCACACATTGAATCTGGAACCACAGCAGTTTGTGAAAAACAGCAGAGATAAAGGACATCTGAAATCCTGGTGTGATATAAAGAGCTGCTAATAATTAATCTGGAATAAACACATGACACTGAAACAAGAATTGTGTGTAATAACTTTCATTAAGTCATTAAAAAGCACTATTAAATTATATAATGCCACTCACTAGTTGATGCTTTTTTCAATCATATATTTTCATATTTGAAAGTATATGAAGTATATTTAGGTGTTATATAATAATGTTTATGCCTTAATTAAAGTTAATATAAAATGTCAAGTAAGCCATTTTTTCGGAATAAACAACACTGAGACAAGAATTGTTTAATATCTAAGTCATTAACAAGCAGTATTAAATTATACAATGCTAAATAGATCATTAGTTAATGCAAATATTATATTTTCATATTTGGATGCATATGAACTGTGTTTAGGCATTATATAATAATGTTATAATGTTGTTTATAACTTAATAAAAGTTATTATACAGTGTAAAAGTAAGCAAAACAGATTGATCAAATTTCCTAGTGTTATGGCAATTTCTGTTTAACAGAACTAAACCCAGTTAAACTAAAGTTATATGTGTAAAATAATCTTTTTAACGAGTATTTCATTATAACCTCGTTACAAAACAATGTATGAAATGAGCAAAATGGCAAGCAGAACACTTAAAAAAAATAAACAGTTATTACCAAAATGAATATGATCCCACTTGTTTCTGTAAGTTTCTGTTGTTTTGTATTATAGTTATAATCTAAAAGCATGGCAATAAGGGAAAATTGTCATGAAAATAATGTCAGAATGCAAAAGAAAAATGTACTTGTCCTCAAAAAAAAGACAATGCATTTTTAAAAGTTGGACATATTATTCGTGGAGTTCCCAGTTTCTCGTAGAAAACTTGCAGATATCAGATCTGTAACACACTAGCATCTTGGCAACAGGTTTTTCTAGCAAATGCATGCAAAAAAAAATCTACTTTCTCAAGCATTGGCTGTGAGCACAAAGACGTCTTGTGAAAGCTGACCGTCTAACATGCAGTCTGAGCTCAGCCATTCTAATTTTGCCACATCGGAAATATGATGCCATGAGAATGCAGGTGAAATTATCGTCCTACATCTTCAGTAGAGCACAGTTAGCCGAAGAGTAGAAGAGTAAACAAGATATTAAATGGTTACGGAAGTTTGCAAATTATTGCACAATTAGTGCGGATATGATTATAGATTAGTAGTGTTTAGTTGGTGTCTTAATTCATGAAATGAACCACACAAACGAATGTCCCTTCCTTACCAAAAAAGTCATACTATGGGGGTATAAGATAGTGCAGTGTTATTTTAGTATTATTTATATACCATCATAGACATAGTATTTATTCATATTTTGAATTAGCTTTTATTTTTATTTTAGTTTGTTTTATTAATTTTGTTATGTGCTTTTATTTTATTCAATTTATATATAATAAACTGATCATACATTTAACATTTTTGCATGTAATAACTTCATATAAACTGATCATGTAGATTTTGCATTGAATAACTATATAAATTGATCGTGCATTTAGCATGTTTACATTCAATAACTTCCTATTGATCATGCATTTAACTTTTGTTGTATTTACCAAGTTTGTATAAATTGATCATGCACTTAATGTTTTTGCATTTAATGACTTCATGCATTTAATAACTTTGTATAAATTGATCATGCATTTAACTTTTTTTGCAATTAATAACTTTGTATAAACTGATCATGTAGTTTTTGCATTGAATAACTACATAAATTGATCGTGCATTTAGCATTTTTACATTCAATAACTTCCTATTGATCATGCATTTAACTTTTGTTGTATTTACCAACTTTGTATAAACTGATCATGCACTTAATGTTTTTGCATTTAATGACTTCATATAAACCTATCATGCATTTAATAACTTTGTATAAATAGATCATGCATTTAAGGTTTTTTACATTTTATAACTTTGTATAAATTGATCATGCATTAAACGTTATTACATTTAATAACTTCATATAAATTGATCATGCATTTAACATTTTTGCGTTGAATAACTTTGTATAAACTGATCATGCATTTAACATTTTTGCATTTATTAACTACCTTTAATTTGACCATGCATTTAATGTTTTTTTTGTTTTATTTAATAACTTATTACATTAAAAAAACATAAATTAATGCATTTTCTGTTAGCATAAAGATATCTTGGAAAAAACTGACAGATATATGTTAACATAGCGTTAGCATGTTCAAGCTATTTAGACACCTGTTAAACACCTTGATTTCTTATACTATAATGAATTAGGCTATATAAGAATCAAGTAATTTCCGTTAAGAAATGATGTTTTCTAAACATAATTATGGTTCTCGGTGTGTCATTGGTGAAACGTTAGTGTAACTTCCCACACTGACAGGTCAAGGAAACCCATGCTTTTCTGAGCGTGTCTGTGACAGGTGACGTGCTTCGTGTTACGCGAGGTCAGCTGACCGAGACACTGTGATGTCAGAAGCATTAGATCATCCCTCCAGTGACGCAAACTTACTTCACTTCTCAACATCTTATTTACAGCACGATATGAGAATGTTCATCCGGCTGTCTCTACAAAGAATCACATCACTTTCTAGAAACATTTTCCTTCATTTTTCTTTGCAGTAAATTTTCCAAAATCTTAAACATTTTTTAAGTTCTAAATAAGTAAATGTAAAAAAAAATCCACATTTTAGTTAGTACAACATGCCTGCAAAAGTCAAGTGTTTCTCAAATGCCAGCTAAATATCTAACAGATCTATTAGCAGTGTTGGTGATTGTATGAGAGGCCGCTCTATGTTTAGCTCATGCGTGTCGGTCAGGGATGCTGGCGTCCAGTTTTAACAGGGGTTCCTGTGCCGTGGGTGAGCGAGAAGGAAAATAGCCCGAACAGGTGCAGATCTAGTGCTGGATGTCTTTCCCCTGCAGCTCAGGCTTTCAAAGTAGAGTCTTACTCATTAGAAATGATCCTCACTGGCTCATGGATCAAACCCAATACATTTCAGCCATCATGTCTCGCCCATGGAATGAACCACAACTCGCCTCTTCAGAATTGCTTTAAATTTCAGGGGGGGAGTTTTAGGAAACAGAGGGAGTCGAAGTGAAATAACCGTTCGTACAGTCATTCTAGGTAAGGCTGTGGTGAAGTTATATTTGTGGATTCAAGAATATTATTTTAGCCCATTGATTTATTACTGAATGAATGCTGTTGTACTTTGTCTTGTGATGTAGTGTGTTTGATACAGAGGACTGATCTTGGATGATTTGTGAGATCAGACACATTGAATTGGTTTTTAAATATCTTCTTTAACACACCATGATATACGTGACCCTGGAGCACAAAACTTAAGGGTACATTTTTCAAAATTGAGATGTATACATCATCTGCAAGCTGAATAAATAGTCTTTCCATTGATGTATGGTCTGTTAGGAGAGGACAATATTTGGTCGAGATACAACTATTTGAAAATTAGGGTGCAAAAAAATTCTAAATATTGAGAAAATCATCTTTAAAGTTGTCCAGATTAAGCTCTTAGCAATGGATATTACTAATCAAAAATGAAGTTTTGATATATTTACGGTAGGAAATCAAGGAACATGATCTTTACTTAATATCCTAATGATTTTTGGCATAAAAGAAAAATCTATAATTGTGACCCATACAATGTATTGTTGGCTACTGCTATAAATATCCCCCAGCGACTCAACACTGCTTTTGTGCTGCAGGGTCACATGTCAAAAATAACTTCTTTAGTAAATGGTTTCAACCTCATCTTAGCAACTTGATATCTAATAGTCCAACAACTGTAAGTCAGTTAACTGATTTTTGCCTTTAAATGACTGAAGAAAGTCAGTATGTCAGTAGAGTAAATGCAATGAAAATTCAATTTCATTGTATTTGGTGAAATTAACATGTGTCTGGTGTCATTTGTCCATTTAGTGACTAAAAATGTTGCTGTATGTCTCCATGTTGGATAGTTTTTTTACTGCTGCTATTAACCATAATTCTGAAGTTTTCAACATGCTTTTGTTGTCAAACATTAATATGAAAAAATTAGAAAGTAAACAGCTTTTGCCTTATCAACAAGTTTTTGAAGAGAAACGTTCCTAAAAATTGAAATTGATTATTTTTTGTTAGAAAAGATATTTGTGATCTTTACTTCTAACATTAATTAGGCAGTTTTCACCATTTCATATGTCCAAAAGCTATTCATCATATTCAATATTCTGCATTTTAACCATACGTTTAATTAGTTTGCAGAGTGTGATAGTGATAGACTGAAAATGGAGATAATAATCAGCTGGTTTGAGATTTTATGCAATTTATGTCTGCTTAGATGATTAACATAAGTGTCATTTTGCAAAATTCTGCCAACAGTCTTGTTTTTTTTTTGTTTTTGTTTTTTTTACATGGTGCACATTTTGGCTGTCGACCATGAATTGAAAAAAGTTACACAATATTGGTGACTAAAGGTGGTTTACTTTTGTTTTGTAATGCTTAATGAACTCTCTCACCTACAAGACAGCAAACAGTGTTCAAAGCCATCGATTTAGTGTCACTAGCACACCTAAAATGTTCAAATAATGAGTTAAATATGCATTGCATTTTTGTTGTAAATGACCTGGGCTGAAACATTTAGATCTTTGTTTTAGTCCGTTAATGTCAGTATACAATTAAATGTACATTCATTGGATTTTCAACTGAGGGCAAATGAAAACCAGATGCGTGTTTTAGATTTTCATTCATGAATTTATTGTATTGTTTGTCTGTTTTTATAGATGTGTGCTCCTGCTCAGGATGTAACATTCTGATTGTGTTTTCCAGGTGGTTTTGTGAGGGTAAAGAGCTGGAAAACAGTCCCGATATTCAGATCATCGCTAACGGTGAGCGACACTCTCTGATCATAGCAGAGGCGTTTGAAGAAGACACGGGCAGATACTCATGCTTTGCCTCCAACTTTTATGGCACAGACTCCACCTCAGCAGAAATCTACATTGAGGGTAAGTTAAATCATTTTTGACCATTTATTATGAATGACTAAATGATTGCAGCTGCAGTTTGAAATTAAGATTGTATATTTTCTTTATCTTTTAGGAGCGTCTTCGTCAGATTCTGATGTAGAACAACATTTTCAAGCACAGTGAGTTTGTAGATTTTCCAACATGAAGTCACGTGAAAAGAATTAAATGAACCGAACATTTAAAAAAAAATCTGATGCACAAAAAATGTACATCAAAATTTGTGCTTTTGTACGATTCTGCATGCATGTTAAAGGATGGTATCTGTGCAAAGTCCAAGACCACTGGCGAAACCTTTATTTATTTATTTTTGTGTTTATTTATTTACTGAAGCACATCATATATATATATGAACCCCCTACACTAACTTCATGGACCCCCAGGGGTTGAAAACACATTCACACATTTTTTTTTTCATACTCCTTAAAAGATCTCCTCAAGCCAAGCCTGCTGTGGTCTCGGTAGAACCCAGCACATCTGCTGAAGAAACCACACCAACTATAACAAACACCTGCGCTGAACCACCAGCACCTTCTGACGCAGAAGAAGTGCCACTGACTGAGCCAACCTCTAAGCAGGAAGATACAGAACTTCTGATTTCCGAAGTTGTCAGCTCTGAAATACCTGTACTAGAACCAACCGTAGCTTTACTAGAACCTCCAACGCCAATATCTGAGGTGGAGCCCACTCCACCTATTCCTTCACTGACCATTGCACCACCATCACCTCCATCCAGCCAAAGTGTCTCTGATATACTGTTAACATCTCATCAGAGCAATCCTGAGGTACAAAAACACACCAAATCCCCAGTTTTGATTATTCCCACTAATGCATGTGTATTTCTTACATTCCATGTGTTTATTTCCAGAATCTAAATGGCAGCAGTAGTTATCTTCAAAGCTTCGATGTAAGGCCCATAATGGCAGCTCCTGTTTTTACAAAGGTAAAGCAAACGCGGCTTGTATTTCTAAGTCTTGTATGACATTGAGTGTCAATGAAATACAGTATAAATGAATGCTTGGGGGAAAAAAGTATTTTAATATTTTTACGTGTTTTAAACTTTTGCATGCATGCCTGCCCAAATCCAAAGAGCTAAAACCTTAGTATGCAATCAGCAATTTTTGCCTGGCAGGCAGTAAAACAGGCAAATCCAGTGCAAGCCATGTCTAGAAATATAGAGACTTGGTGGTGACCCTGTTTGACCAGTAAGAAACCACCAAGCAATGCCCTATCTACCCCACAGAACACCCTTTAAAATGCATATAATCCACTGTACACTCTCGCAAAAATGGTACCTTTAAGGGTATAACAGCTTGTCACTGGGGCAATAACCTCAAAGGGACACCTTTGTACCTAAAGGGTGCATGCTAGTACCATAAAAGTACATATTACTACTCCAGGGTACTAATACCATTTAGGGGTAAAGAAGGTACAAATGTGTCCCTTTGAAGGTATTGCCCCAGTGACAAGCTGATGTACCTCTAAAGGCAAATTTTTTTCAGACAGTGTAAAGCAGGGGTGCCCAACCCTGCTCCTGGCGATGGACTGTCCTGCAAAGTTTAGCTCCAACTCTAATCAAAGACACCTGCCTTTAATTTTTAAGTGATCCTGAATACCCTAATTAGTTGCTTCAGGTGTGTTTGATTAGGGTTGGAGCTGAACTTTGCAGGACAGTCGATCGCCAGGAGCAGGGTTGGGCACCCCTGGTGTATAGAGTAGAAATGGCCTGGAATCCAAAAATTCTCATGGCAGTAGTTATTATCTTTAGAATATATAAAAATCTAGTTTTTACATGTTTTCTATCCCATTGACATTGCACACCATTGTCTCTTTTGGTGCAGAACCTCCAGGATGTCCTGGCTGTAGAGAGTCAGTTGGTAGTTCTGGAGTGCAGAGTAAAAGGCATCCCCTCCCCTAAAGTGGACTGGTACCGGGAAGGAACACTTATTGAAGATTCTCCAGACTTCAGGATCCTCCAGAAGAGTATGTATAATTTTAGTGCGCAATGTATTTAGATATGTGGTTGGATCCATCCTTGAAAACTCCACCTCTACTGCTGAAAATGTTTCAACCTGTAACTTGTAAGAAAACTTTTCAGTGCTTGACTTTTTCTTCTTAAAAATTGTTATCTGACAATCCACACATTCTGCTTTTTTCACGCCAGAACCAAGATCCATGGCTGAATCTGGTAGGTGGATTTGATTTCCCCTGCTTTGTCAAGGTAATTATTTCATGACACTAACCACCTAACAGTGTACCATTTCTCTGTTTGGTGTGGACATCAGAGGAGATATGTACTTTGGTTATTGCGGAGGTCTTTCCAGAGGATTCTGGAACATTTACCTGTACAGCCAGCAATAAATATGGCACAATTTCCAGTACTGCAGCATTGAGAGTAAAAGGTAATTTGGTTTTATGGTTGTGGAATCGATTATTGGATCAGCTTCACTTAAGAATGCTTAAATTCTTTAAGTTCATAATGAAATAAAAATGTATGCATATATCACATCTCAAGACTAATTCTGAACAATATATTGTCTACATCAATAGGACACAAAAATAGCAACACCAACCCTAAAACAACAAGCACTTTAACAGTGGAATCCTCCCTCCAGAAGGTTCCAGCAGCAGAACTGATATCAACAACTTTAAAGTGTAAGCAAGATGTTCCTCTGGTAAACAACAAGCTTCACTCAAGTATGATTTGCCTTGACCCTTTGAGCTCTAGATTTAAGCATCCAGACCCTCAGGACTGTGGAACGCCTCGCTCAGATTCCCTAAATCCTAGTACCCTTCGCCATGACCTCACCACTAGCCTACCTAGTCTAAACCCTCTCAGCATTGGAAAATACAGCACAGATACTTTCAGGACTAGTTTACCTCAGCTAGACCCTCTCAGCTTCAGTTCTTCTTCACTGAACTCAGACTCAAACCATACGCCCCTCAGCTCTAACACAACACACTTTGATTCAGGAGGATCTGGTTTTAACACAGAAGTGACCCAAAGTCCATCAAACGGATCAGCCTTTGGCATCACTATGAGCTCCGATGCCTGGGTTGAACCATCACCAAATGGTTCAAAATCTACCCCCAGCCCTTCTGTTACTAGTCTCCCATCAGTAAACTCCAGTAACCATCAAGAGCGACCACCTGTTAAACCCCTACCAGATCTCCCAACTTCTTGCCTCAAGACAAGACCTGAGGGTGTGTTAGGGAATCACAATGAATCCCGCTCTAGTTCTCGAGTCGGCCTGCGCGTAACCTTTAAACTCCCAGAGGATGAAGAAGAGGAAGAGAAAGGAATGTCATCCAAAGAACCACCACAAGTGTTGGCTAAACCAAAACTGTGAGTACCAACTTCAGAGTGTTGCGAGACAACTTGAGAGTAAGGGTGTTTTCACACCTGTAGATCGATTGCTTTGTTCCGAAACAGGGATTCAAATGATTACAATGTTGCTTTTTATTCTTGGTGCGGTTCGCTTCACACAGCAAAATTTCTAAACGGACCAAATTTGTTAATACAAGTCACGCGCGAGTAAACTGTTCTCTCATTGGTCAAAGTTCCACGGTTTATTTTCCGGGATTCCACTGAGCTGTCACAGCTGTCATCTGTCAGAATGGAACAATATCAGCTTTGCGGGCTTATTGTTGTGTTTTTTGTAGCTGTCGTTAATAATAATTTA